TATCGGTGTATATAATTTAAATCCCCTTTCAAATTTTAGCATGTATTTTTCTTAATCACGCATAATATACAATTCTTCGTGTCCAAACAAATGATATATATTCACCAAAAAAGATTGTGATGATATGAATAGCAATTTTTATCATCTTACCATCAAAGGATGTGGTGTAGCGGATGAGGCTGCTCCTCCCTTAACCAGAGATCTCGGATTCGAACCTTGGATATGTAATGATATCCCAACTAATTAGATTTGTTGTGTGTGGATCATTAAAAGATTGAAGTGCTCTGTTACCAAGATTGTTTTCATCTCTAATATTTGAATCTCGAAATTTAGTTTAAAATGAAAGGATCTTATCACTCGCAAATTTCAGTGATACGTCATCAGATTAACTTGACTAATAACAATATTTAATGTTTTGTGACAAATCTAATTTAATAACTAGAAAAAATAAAATAAACAACTTGATATAGTCGATCAAATTTAATTGACAGTGTAAATAACATATAATATGTTAGCAAATTACATGAGTAATACATAATTAACAAAATGATAAAACTAATTAATAATGAACAAAACGTTGAAATACACAAAATGCAAATTTTCTGATAGAAGGCCCAAACGTCAGACAGAAATTCACATAAATAACCGTTCTTTGAAATAATAGTCAATAAATATATATTTTTTATATATTAATATATAATATACATAAAATATACATGTTGATATATTATAAATTTAATTAATAAATATAATTATCTTTTATGGACCGAACAAACATATAATTTGTCCCAATATTTATCTTGAAATAATAATGGTAAGACAATGTTTTCAGCCACTGGGCCAATATTTCCTTATGAAAGGCCCAAATTTGCTATTCAAATAATTTTGCATGTATATACTAGAATTTATGGACGATTGAGCACGTTCAATCACTATACCCAAAATTTTATCTTATAAACAAAATTAATTTATGCTCATAACTTATGTTTGATGAGTAACAATCATTTTTTAAAGTATATGATTAAGAAAATAAAAAATTCAAGACCATTTTTTCATAAATCATTCCATCAAAGAGAGTTAAAAGTGCAATATTTTACAATTATTCCTTTTTGAGACAGTTATTCAATAAATAGTCTTGTTTTATTTATTGTTTTACAATGTAAATATTTATAAGCTTAAGTCACTCAACCAACAAATAAATATATTCTAGTATTTATTATTTTTGTTGTTGGGCTCTTTTTAGTTCTATATCAGCTAAATACAAGCTATTATAATTATCGCATGAATAATTAGATATTCAACTAGTAATCAAAATGTACTTGCAGGAACATAACTCTATCAACGAAATTATATCGTCCGAATCAAGTAAAACATATGTATGAATTAGTCAAATTTATTTTTTATATTTTTTCAAAGTACAACTAGATCATTTTGAACTTAAATTATACATAAATCTCACTAATGAATTAACTCATTGAGTAAAACTATGTTTACTTTATATATTATCAACTTAAGATGACTTTAGTTATTTTTTTAGAAAAAATTAACAAATAAAAACATAATAAATTTATATAGTCGATCGTAACTTATGAAATTAATTTTAAAAATAATATGATATATTGATTCCTTTTTTTGTCATGTTCTTCGATTTCAACTATTCCTCTTAAAAGTGTGATATGACGATGAAACATGCTTTGTCTCTTAACAAAATGCACAAAACAAAGCCAAAGACCTTTCAGGTGTGGGTTTGTCCCCCCACCCCCCACTCCCTCTTTTTGACGGTAAAATATTTTATCAGATCAATTGAATTCAATATTTTAACATAAAAATATAATTAAAAATATAAAAATCTACTAAAATTCCTATCAACATTGATTTCAAATTCATAATTCTAAAAATAAAATAATTCAGATCTATATAAATATCTTAAATACAGAATTTATTAAATCTAAATTCTGAATTATATTTCTTTCTTCTCCTTTTTATTATGATTTCCGACTCAATGAAGAAAAAAGATGATAAACATTAAAAAAACACAACCAGACTAAAGTTTTAGATTTGGGCTAGAGAAGAAGATTACACGAAAAGCGTATTTTTATTTTATTTTATTGTTTGATTTAAAATAGATGGAGTTTGAGAAAAATAATAATAAATTCTGAAAGTTATAATCTTAATTATGTCTTAAATTATATCGATAAATAAATAAATAAAAAATATACCTTTCTTTTTCGAGCAAATTGTGTACTAAAAAATAATATAATAAATATATATATAAATATCAAGATCTTGCTCCCATAAACCTAAACAGATCTCAAAAGCCCCAATTATAGGAAAGATACTCAACATCTACCTTACCTTACTTATCTCTCTCTCTCCAAATAAGCAATAGGAGATATTTATAAGTTTTAATTTACGCAGTTCGGTAGAATTCAATAAATTTAATATGAATCATATTATATATTTTAAGAAAATTCACCATAACCAAAATTAAATTCATAACTCATTGCTAACATTTACAGTTGTTGTGTTGGAATACATAATTAATAATAGGGATGTACATGGCTGGGTTGGTTCGGGTTTTTCAAATATCAAATCAAACCATTTGTGTCGGATTTTTAAATTTATAAACCAAACCAATAAAACTCGGGTTTTTTGGATTTTTTTGGATTTTTTCAGGTTTTTCGGGTTGTTTCAGGTTTTTCCGATAAAGTATTCATACAAACATATAATTTACTTGTAATTCAAATATTTCTTTAGTCCTACCAAAATACAACTATCTAAGATGTTTCTTAAAAATATAACACAATATGATATGATTAATGACACTAAAATATCTAACAAAAATAATAATAATGAAATCGCGTAAAACAAATATTGCAAATTAACAAGTCATAATGAAAATGATCATAATTTAAAAGTACTAAATCATGCTAAAATTAAGTTTAATAAGTATTAGTTACATGACTAAATATTAAAGGAAATTAAAATTAGATTATGTATTTTAATTGTCTAAACCAATGTAAAACTAAAGAACAAATATTCAATATTTAAAAACTATGAAAAAGTATAAGAAATATTTAAAAATTATATCAAGTAAATATTTTTATGTATAATATAAAATTTTAAAATTATATATATAATGTCGTGTTCTCGGGATGGTTTTTTTTAGTTAAAACCAAACCAACCCAAATATAGTCGGATTTTTTTTCCGGGTTGACTCGATTTGCGGTTTGATTCGATTTTCGGTTCGATTTTGTACACCCCTAATTAATAATATCTAAATCTTGGTAGTTTGAATTTGATGAAGGAGCTAAGAAGATTTTCCTACAAATTTTCTTCATTTTCAGAATTTAGATTTGAAACCTTTTAAAAAAAATTAAGAACAGAAGAACTTAATCTATCCTATTGCAATCTTCATTGGTTATTTATATCATATCCAAACCTTTCACTAATCAAGTCAAAAGAATATTATGTTGGAGAATTTAGGTGGATGTATCAATTAACTTGAGTGTTAAGAAGACTTATTGGTCTTCATATATCTAGTCTTCCATTATTTTAATCAAACATATTTTTTTTAGCTAGTCAAACAAGTGTACAATTGTTGTGAAAAATGTTAGCACCATTTTTATTTTATTTTATTTTATTTTGCTTTATTTTGCTTTTTGTTTGCACTAGTTAAAATTACATTTTTCACATGTATATCTTGTGAAACAAGACAACTTTGTAAGGTTATATGAGCTAGACGTGATAAATAAGATTAATTTAGTTAATATCATTGGGCGGAGTAAAATATTAGAGAGTTTTATTTGAGATTTAGGCCTAATTAGTTATTGTTAACAAGGTCTATGAATTAGAAAGAACGGTTATGCAAATTATGTCAAAGTTTTGATTGTCGGTTATCTCTCATCTCCATTCTCGTTTGTAGTATATCATTCCCTTGTGATTACCTTCTTCATTGTATTCTCTCCTCAGTTACTGTTGTTATTACCTTGTTCTTTGGATTCTAAGTTGTAATTTGAGTTCAGTGATTATAAATACATCTTGTATTTGTGTTGAAAATTGATTTGTTTCTTATATGTATGTACTGTTTAGTTTTTTTTTTTCCACTTGATATTTGGTATCTGCTTTGGGCCCCAACTAATTTAGATCTCACTTTGAGGGATAAAACTTTTTTTTTTTTTGGATTTTCCACTGATGTTAGGTACCCGTTTTGGGACCCTGTTATTCTAGATTTGCGTCAGAAAGTCCCACTTTGTATGTAAAGCGATTCCTATAAAAAAATGTCTTCATATCATAGACTCAAACTCGAAACCTCTTATTAAGGATGAAAAAAATATTATCCTTCAAGATTATCCTCTAGTAACCGAATAAATTGATAAATCAGGCATTTCCGGCCTACCAAGCCATTACATAAAATGGAAATACAACTAGAGTAATAGAATGGGACTAATAATAAATCATTGTCTCTTTTTATTATAAATAAAAATTAAAGATACTAATTGATATCAAAATTTTGGGCAACTACTGATTAGTAGATAATGTTGACAAAGTTACATAACAATACTTGTAGATTAGTAGAAAATGTATAGTTAATGACTTAATGGAAATGTTTAGCCAATTTGGCCTTTTGGAATAAAATAGGAAAAACTACCCTATATACATAGCCACCCATTAAAATAATAATATATATATATATATATATATATATATATAAAATTAGTGCAAATATTTTTCATCGATCGACCAAATGTATAACTTTAAAAAATATAATAAAAGAAGAGGCTAATTACAATGTATAAGGAAAAAGGAGCAGCTAAGAAAGCAACTCATGTGGCCCATTATTTCTTGTCATCATCTCAGTTGGTCCATTGATGTGATATAAACAATTTATCATCCCTCCAATTTTTCACCTTATTTTTTCCTTCAACTTTTTTTGTGTATCACTCAATTACACTTACACAAATTTGATCAAAATCTTGATCTATTTTTTTCCTCTAGCCATGTCAAGTAGTGATATTAGGGGTAAAGATTTGGCCGAGGGATCGTCAAGATCCCCCAGTCGTGATCAACCACCTAGTCGATACGAGTCTCAGAAACGTCGAGATTGGAACACTTTCAACCACTACTTGAAGAATCAAAGACCACCAATCCCCCTTCCTCATTGCCATAGCAACCACATCCTAGAGTTCCTCCGGTACCTTGACCAATTTGGGAAAACAAAGGTTCACTTACTGGGTTGTATGTTCTACGGTCAACCTGACCCACCAGCTCCCTGCACTTGTCCATTGAGACAAGCCTGGGGAAGCCTGGATGCACTCATAGGCAGGCTTAGGGCTGCCTATGAAGAGAACGGTGGGTCAAGTGAGACGAACCCATTCGCGACCGTTGGGATTCGAGTGTATTTGAGGGAAGTGAAGGAATGTCAAGCCAAGGCACGTGGCATTGCTTATAAGAAGAAACAAAAGAAGTTGGCTAATAGTCCAAGTAAGGGAGATCATGATGATGCAAGTTCTCCAGGATTCCTCACATTTTCTTGATTATAAAATGGTAAAATCTTTTACAATGCTTTTACCACTTCACTTAAACTGCTAATTTGTCATTTTGATCGCTTATCTTATTTTCTTTTTATAATATCTATGAGAAGTAAGATATGTTTAGATATATATAGGTGTTTTTTGTAATCTAAAAATTAAAGCAGATAACTTACGCGCTATACATGACCATGTTAAAGTATAATAACATGCAAATATTTTTCATCGATCGACCAAATGTATAACTTTAAAAAATATAATAAAAGAAGAGGCTAATTACAATGTATAAGGAAAAAGGAGCAGCTAAGAAAGCAACTCATGTGGCCCATTATTTCTTGTCATCATCTCAGTTGGTCCATTGATGTGATATAAACAATTTATCATCCCTCCAATTTTTCACCTTATTTTTTCCTTCAACTTTTTTTGTGTATCACTCAATTACACTTACACAAATTTGATCAAAATCTTGATCTATTTTTTTCCTCTAGCCATGTCAAGTAGTGATATTAGGGGTAAAGATTTGGCCGAGGGATCGTCAAGATCCCCCAGTCGTGATCAACCACCTAGTCGATACGAGTCTCAGAAACGTCGAGATTGGAACACTTTCAACCACTACTTGAAGAATCAAAGACCACCAATCCCCCTTCCTCATTGCCATAGCAACCACATCCTAGAGTTCCTCCGGTACCTTGACCAATTTGGGAAAACAAAGGTTCACTTACTGGGTTGTATGTTCTACGGTCAACCTGACCCACCAGCTCCCTGCACTTGTCCATTGAGACAAGCCTGGGGAAGCCTGGATGCACTCATAGGCAGGCTTAGGGCTGCCTATGAAGAGAACGGTGGGTCAAGTGAGACGAACCCATTCGCGACCGTTGGGATTCGAGTGTATTTGAGGGAAGTGAAGGAATGTCAAGCCAAGGCACGTGGCATTGCTTATAAGAAGAAACAAAAGAAGTTGGCTAATAGTCCAAGTAAGGGAGATCATGATGATGCAAGTTCTCCAGGATTCCTCACATTTTCTTGATTATAAAATGGTAAAATCTTTTACAATGCTTTTACCACTTCACTTAAACTGCTAATTTGTCATTTTGATCGCTTATCTTATTTTCTTTTTATAATATCTATGAGAAGTAAGATATGTTTAGATATATATAGGTGTTTTTTGTAATCTAAAAATTAAAGCAGATAACTTACGCGCTATACATGACCATGTTAAAGTATAATAACAATAGTATGAAAATATTTATACTCTACTAGTAAATAATTAAGTTAGATTCTAAAGATCTTCGAAGTATATAATTAAGTTAGATTCTAAAGATCTTCCTTCAAAGATGAAGTGAGGATTCAGAGTACATTCATCACACTAGATCTAAGTATTTGTAAGGATGGTTTTACGGTTAAAATTATGATTTCAGCAGTATCTAATCAATAATTTTGACCTAAATTTTATTTTTATGTTATAAATTTTTTTAAAATAATTTATCTAAAATTCGCAACATGATAAAAAGTTGTAATCCAAAAAACTCATAAGCTGAAAATCTTGAATCCGTCTCCAATTCAATTAGGTTTCAATCTCCAAATTAATGATGATAAGAAATTAATCTAAAACCTAGTGGGAGATAAAAGTAGATACTGAAATTCAAACCCTAGAAATTAATTCTAGTGGATATACAACTACAAAACTATAGTTCTTGGTATATATTATGGGTTCAAATCTTTACTTCTACTTCTTTCATATAAAAATGACATATATTTGGTTCAAATATTAGTAAATAATTTTTTTTTAATCTTTTTAGATGAGATTGTTACACGATTCAATATATATTATAACTAAAGCTACCTGAAAAGTTAGTCTTGCAGAACATTTTAAAAAAAAGTCTCTTCCGATGTTTACTATATATTTTCTTTGGAGCCGCGTAATGCTCATTAAAGAGGGAAGCGTTCTTTATCAGTATTGTTTAATTTTTACGGCTCAACCTTAAAGTTTCTAGTTATTGATGAAGAGATTCTATCTATTCCATCATAATTCTTAACTATCAACTTTCGAGAACTATGACAAAAGAAAAAAAAGAAAAAGGAATTTGACACATGTGAAGTATGAAGAAAGGTCAAAGGTCAAGAATTTAGCCCTTTAATTTCCTTACTTTCTGCCATGAATAAAGCTGTCAATTCCCAGATATTTGGTACTTTATGTTTGGTAAGCTTGATTAATTTGGATTTGCATCGTGGAGTTATAGGAGATAGAAAACTTCTACCAAAGGTAGCTCCTTTTTCTAAGTTTAAATTTGAGACCTTCATTACGTAAAGATAGACTTACCACCTCCATCACAATCTCTGACGGTAGTACTATGTTCAGTACATAATCATTTGAGGTACTATATATACGGTTTTGCATCTTTCATCGGAGTATTCTTGAATAGATAATTAATAACTTTTTGTGAAACTTGTCGTTTAAATATGTTATAACATTTATGTGACTATACAATATTTGAAATATATCGTCTTAAACATGTCAACACATGTATTTGTATGACTATAAGAGTTATTCATTGTCTTAAATATATATATAATCAAATTAGATTTATTGTAGAGAACTTCGATCATCTAGTTTAAGAAAATACATATAAAATATATAGATAGAGTATATTTTATACTAAATACACACATACTCGCGTATATATAATGATGTATATATTGTATATATTTCAACGATGTTAGTAAACTAGTTGGCTAGAAAATATATCCGCAACTTTCCTTTTCTTTATGGGAAAGGGAACATTTTTCATTGGATTTTCATGATTTGAGATATTTACGTACGTAAAAACCATATAGATATTAAAACAATTGTTTAACTTAGTATTAAATTAATAAATTATATAATCTCATATTAATGAGCACTTAAAATATATCTTAATGAAGGGCAAAATTTTGAAATTTTGCATCTGAATTATAATGTTTAAAATTGTCCTTTAGCATCTTTACAAGATTGCTTACTGTGTATATTGGATCTTGTGGGGCATTACACTTATTCACTTTTTTGTCAGATTGTTCTAGTACATTTTTCATTAAAATATATATGTATTGCATGCATAATTGGTATCCTCAAATAAATATTTTCTTCATGACATGCAGGTAGTTTTTTTTTGTTTGGGTGTGTGTAATATATATAACAACAATAATGAATATAGTTGATGTGTTCTGAAAATATCTGCTAATGTTTGCATTATGACATATTACTTGGGGACTTTGAATTTTTATGTGAATACGAGATGCTTTGTGCACCGAGCTACTCTCGATAATAATGACATGATATAGAAGAGAATTATCACCAAAGGTTATGTTAATAGTCTAAGTTGCTGCTATAAATAACTGATATTACTATAAGGTTGTGGTGAAGTGATAAGTACTTTATCCTTAAGTATAAAAGGTTTTGGCCTAGTATTCAGAGCAAATATGATAAAACAAATTTCTTTGTAAGCTAGTTATTTTCCTTTTCATAAATTTACATAAGGCTCTATAGTAGATTTTGTAAGCCTTCTAGTTTTTTTTGTGACTAATCAGTGTTGTATTGAGGTCAGGTTTAGCCCCCTCTACTTCTTTTTTGCTAATACAACACACCCTATTCGGGTAATTGATTAAAAAAAAAGGTCTTGGAATCGAGTCTTAGATATAACAGTTGCATTTGATAGGAGTGTTTTACTATCTAAGTGAGGTGAGCTTTCTGACTTGAATTTAAATTAGTCGAATTTTAAAGTAAATATCGGATATCGGATGAGAAAAAAATTTAGAGGGAAGGTTAATTATAAGTAAAAAAAAAACAGTATTTTACCACCTTACAGAAATTAATGTTTAAACAAGCTGTTTGTATATTAAAAATATATAAGCATTTTGAAATCGGATTTAAGGGCAGCTTAATTATTATTAATCTGCTGCTTTTTTAGTAGTAATCATCCCCATATAGAGATTTTCCCTCTTAAGACAAACTATTAATCATCTCACTCCCTTTGGTGTGGAGTTTTATAATTTAAGCTAATTAAAAAATTTAAATGTTCCATATTTAAACTTAACTTTGTGTTACGGATTTGATTGGACCGGCCAATTATCAAGGTATTGTTTGCTTTGATTCGACTTTTTGTGTCACTTCAAGGTTTTTGGGCTTCACGGTGAGTATTTTTCCCTTGAGCTACGTGACAATTTGAGATTTAACTTATTTGATTTACCAAGTTCGAAATTAATTATGTAATGTGTACTTATATTGTAAATTTCAAAGGCTCAATTATTATTATATATATAACTTTAACTCTATTTTAATAGTCATACATATATGTATGTTTATTCTTTTTAAATCCATGGAGCATAATACATTGTTAATATAAGATATTTTTATACCGTTAAGTTCTTAACTTATTATAGTAGCTGATTTATCTTATTAAAAGATTACAAATTAACATATTGTAAGGAGACAAACTTATATTAGTGTAAAATATTTTTTACATACAATATGGTTCATATATATAACTTAAACACTTTATTTTTAAAGTAAGAATTCATATGTACAATAATAATTTGTTCTAACGATGCATTATTAGTGAAATAAAAACTCTTTATATCGTTAGTCTATCAAACTTAAATTCTTATTTTTACTAATATAATTATTATATTTCATGAGCAGGATTTTGCGTGGATAAAAGGGATTTGCTGCAAAGAGTGGAAGAATTTTATTGCCAATTAAAGTAACCATTAGCAGTAATCAAAGGCATTTAATTCAAATTTCTATTACTTCATCATTATATATAATTTGGTTCTATAGAGGCCTTAAGCAAATTTTAAGTTTTTTTTGTGTATTCTAAACTCTTTTATACAAGTGAGTTTTTTTCTATTTACCAGGCCAATTAATTGGAAGTTTATCCTTTTTTTTTTTGGTAAATAAAGTAATTTTAGTACTAAGCAATAAAGTTCCCCAAAACTGATTTTTTCAAGAAAGAAACGAAAGGTAAGAAGTAAAATGATATTTCCTCCGTTCATTTTTTCTTTTCCAATATACTATAAATACAAGTTTAGCATATCAAGAGAAACTTTTTATTGTGGTAAAATACTTATATCAATCATTATTTTTTAAGGAATGTGTAAAATCTAAACTGGACAAGTAAACCTGAACAGAAAGAGTAGACAACAACAATATATAATAACATACCCAATTTAATATCATGAGTGAGGACTGATGAGGGTAGATTGTACAAAGATGTTACCCCCTACCTCATGGAGGTAAATAAGTTGTTTACTAAAGACTCTTAGCTCGAGTAACACACATCAAAACAATTTAAAAAGAAAATTACATAAATAAAATTGACTTAAAATATCGTCCGATCCTCTAAATAACAAGTTAAATAACCAAATTTCTTCTTATTGTTATTGTTTAACAATTTAAGTTGAAATTTTTTGGTAAACTATAGCCACCAACACAAATTCGTGCATCTTTATTGGCTTCTTCATCGGTAATATTATATTCGATATTTAAAATTCATTAAATAAGATTATGATTTTCTTAATAGCTCAAACTTTCAATTCTATGTCATAAAATTTGAATTAACGTTCTCGATTTAACAACTTCTTTATAACAACGTAGAATTTTTTATATTTATACAAACTTACGATCCTAAGACCAAATATATGATGAAAGAATGCATTAGGAAAAAAGAAACACGTAGAAGGACATGAAGGCATTATTAAAGACTATTGAAAGTTTGCTTTTGAATTTGCATAGTTATGATTTTTTTCGATTGGATAATACATCTGATGTTGTTGGAAATATTTCAAGAAGTTTGAATGTCAATCCCTTAATTTGAGGCAAATTTAAGTTGGTTTTCAAATTGAAAAGTTGACATTACAAACAACTTTTTTTAAAAAAAATCGCTCCATAGAAGTTTTTATATATTTTTTGGCTTCCTTAATAACTCACACACAAAATCTTAAGATTAAAGCTGGAAGATGCTTATCATTGAATAACCCCCTCTTGTTGATTGCAGACGAATTCATTTGTGTATCCCTAATGTATATCCATTTATTTCCTATATATATATATAGATGTATACAGTGGCGAAACCAGGATTTTCAATAAGGGAGTTCAAAATTCGAAGGAGTAAACATACGAACTAGTCTAAGGGGGTTCAACATCTATTAAATATATCTAAAAAATAATTTTAACCATGTATATATAGTAATATTTTCCGTCGAAGGGCGATCGAATGACCCCCTAAAGACATGCTGGCTCCGCCCCTGGATGTACATATCCATGAATATTTGTATCTGATATACAAACATCCAATGTGATATACACATGTTATATTGACAATTTTTAAATATGAATTTTGACCCTAAATCAGCATAAATCACCTTCAATCTTGCTCAAAATTTTATATATAATTTCATTCAGATGTTATTAATCAATATCAACCACACCTATCATTATTAATCATTATTTGTTTTTATAATTAGATGTTGGGAATGTTGGAGTGACTGATGGATAAATATATTTATCGATTTAGTTTGAATCGATTATAAGTCAAAATCAAATAATTTAATGATTTATAATCAAAATCAAATCAAAGTATCAAACTAATATATACTCATCAATTTTTATTCGATTTAATTTGATTGTTCGATAAAAAAAAAAGACAAAATTAAATTTCTTTTTCCTCAAGAAAACAAAAAGTAAAGTAGAAAGGGCCAAGTCCGACCATTTGTAGCCCAAAGCATCCTTCCGCTCCCACACTCGACCCGCTTCCCTAATATTTGCTTCGAAAAGATAGTCTGCTCGTTCGGTGCTCCTCGTCGGAATCCCTTTGGTTTACTGCCGGAATCCGGTAATCCATCTCTCCATCTCTCTCTCTTCTATGATTCATTATTTTGAGTTTTGTATTCTCTCCCTTAAAATCGCTTAAATAGTCAGTGAAATTGATTTGAACTGGATTCTAATCGTATTTTATCTTTATTTGGCTAAACTTATGAATCTGATGCTGTTGTTGTGAACTTAGCATTGTTAGTTTGTGAGTTTTCGATTGTTGACATACTTAGGTTTGCTGATTTGTTTCAAATGATAAATTTGTGATTGATACTTTATTTAGCACCTTGTTTAGACCTACTGAGAGGAACTAGGAAAGTTGGATTTTTGTTTTGTTTTGTTTTCTAGGGTTCTCTAGTTCCTCCATAAAATGGTAGATAGAAGGATAAAGATGAAAACTGGTAGGGTTTGAGCTCCCTACTCCTACCCCATCTTTTAATTTCTGCATTTTTTCTTGACTTAGACTGGTAATTTATGTATTAATGAATCTTTCTTGTTTTTCAGAAAGCGTTTATGATTATTTACCTGAGAAAAATGAGGAGTATTTAACTCCCAGCACTATCTAGCAGATCTCATCTAAGTCCACCACACTGGTAGTAGACAGTGAATTAGTTATTTGACACATGTTTTGTTGCTGGCATTCTGCCGTTAGTTCACTTAGTGGTTCTTTATAAATAGAAAAAGAAAGAGAAAATTCAGTTCCTTTATTGGTTAAAGATCTATGGTAGGCTATAGCAGGTGGGCTAGTGATATGTCGAAGTGTACACAAGCTGGCCCTTATACTATATATTGGGAAAAAACAAAATGTAGATTGAAAATTTGAAAAGTACGAGATGTTCTTTTGTCAAAAAAGAGTGTTGGCAATTGATTCTTTTCCTTGGCAGTATTGGTAAATTTTGTGTTCATGGTTTAAAATGATTCTTCAACATCTAAAGTAAATAGGACACACCCAGAATTAAGTCAATGACTCCTAATCCTAATCTCTAATAGCGCCTTCCCTTGGCTCGTTACTTTTCAGGGTCTCTATTGAAGACTAGCATATAATCCAATGGGTGATAGTCAATACTCTTTCTCACTCACTACTTTCAGGTAGGAATTTATGGGAGCACTGTATGCATATCAATCTATATATACCTTTTCTTCTTTTGATTGCAATTTCTCTTAACATGGTTTGTTATGAAATAGTCCATCTGGAAAGCTGGTTCAGATTGAACATGCCTTGACAGCAGTTGGATCGGGTCAAACGTCACTGGGGATTAAAGGTAACTCAAGTTATAATAAGGGCATCTTTTATGTCTCTAGGTACTTGAGTGTATGGTTAACTAGCAATGTCCAATTATGCCAGTCATTATGTTGGTTAGTATTAAGTCACAAATCCACAAATAAATTTATTTATAGCATGCCGGAGATGGTAGCTCTTGATTATTTCAAATTAGATCTTGTCCGTTTTACTTATTATAATTGATTTGGATCTCAATGGATATAGATGATGCTCTCAGATCCTGTCTGAGGCCTTTCATTTAGTCAAGAATGTATTTGTAATGTGATGGACGTATCCTGCTATAATCATAAAAAGGATTCTTTGTAATTAAGTTGGATAATTGTGCTTTCCTTTTTATTTGACAATAAATTTCTAGTTCTTATAGTTATTTTTACATTTATAATTGGATGATTGCAGCTGCTAATGGTGTTGTAATTGCAACTGAGAAGAAACTACCATCCATCCTGGTTGATGAAACATCTGTAAGTATTTCTCTTTAAAGTCATCCTTCATAGTCTACTCATGAGTCACGACTGATTGTACTTGTTTTTGACAAAGCCGTGGTGTGACATCCTTATGACTTCATCTAGATTGCAAGAATTTATAGTTTTGACCCTTCGGGGTGGCCCATTGGTTTGGGCTTGGGACTTTCATGTTGGAGGTCTCAAGTTCGAAACCCCTTGCCAGCGAAAGCAAGGGGTTTGCCTTCTCGGTCGAGCTCGTCGCATTGCCCAGTGCGGGTTACTCTCCTGTGGTTTGCGAGCTATTGCATGAGAGCGGGGGTTTTACCCTGTGCACACCCAAAGGGTAGCAGCTTCGGGTTTCCCTTGTCATAAAAAAAAGAATTTATAGTTTTGTGTTTATTTCTAGTACTAGTAATCAGTCAGTAGGAATTTCTTAGATGTCAAGGTTGTATAAAGATGATAGTAGTGTTCAGTTTACTGCTATGGAGAGTAAGTCTGCAAATATCTCGAAATACTGTCATTCAACATAGCAACACGTGCATTCAAAGTCATGGTTGTTGGTCTTAAATGCTTCTCCTCTATACTGTAGCACTGTGGATCTCCTTTTTCCTGTTTTCTTGTTTATATTAGTAGTAAGCTTCGTGACAACTGGTTTGTTTTGGAATTCATGGTAATATCAATAGATTTCTCACTTTTTCGCTGTATATCCCTTAACACTTGTCATACTAACCATCTTCATACTCTTTCTTTTATATGTGTAATTCAGGTGCAAAAGATTCAAACTTTGACACCAAATATTGGAGTAGTTTACAGGTGAGATCCTTTTATCTTTGTTGGCTCCAGTTATCCTCTTCACATTCCAGGATATGAGGATGTGTGGTGAACCTGGCTAGAGTTGTATGCAAAACTGTCTTCAGATTATGAATGACCATCCTTTGTGGTGGGTGAGCTCTTTTGTTGGTTTAGTTAATTGACCTAGTTCATGGTTTCTATTCTCAAATGTTTAAGGTCAACCATGAAATGATTAGAGGTTCATTTCAATACAATGAGCTTTTGTTTTCAACTATATAAAAAATTGAGGTGGGGCTCTTGGATATTTATTCACATTTGACCCAGTGAACACACTTACAATTGATAGATTATGGAATTCAGTTGCAGAATTTCCATGAAAAGAATGTGCAAGTCAGATAATTATCCCAATTCAATATTATTCATAATGAGCAGCATCAGGTTCAGTAAAAGCCACATCTTATGTATCTTTGCATTGATAGTTTGATGGAGTCAGCTTAAAATACTTTATAAAATATGTGGGGAAGGACTTTGCTT